AAGTCTAGCTATCTGATTGTGCCTAGCACATCAGCTGGTGTCACAATTCCTTCTATTCTCTGGCCCTACCTACTCTTTATCACATGCTCGTATACTTCTAGTATGATTAGCACAACAATAAATAAAATAGTGTACTACTGCCACTACCCAAGCACCTTTCCCTCACACCAATGAAACTTCTTATGCCTACCCACCCATCAAACAAGAAAGCTTTCAGTACACGACTGTTGCGAGAACATGATTACAAAAGTCATCACCATCATCTACAATCATTTTTCACCTGTTCATGTGGTGTACACCTGTGGGTTGTTGGCAATACACTTGATTGAAGTGTGGGAGATTCCAGGTTCACAACGAGCCCTGTCATCTTTGTTCTCTTAAGCTTATATGCCATGCAATCCAAAAACCTGTGTGAACGCTATTGCCTCTTATAATATTATATCTTGTTTATAAATCTTTTACCTTTTTAAGTGTGCAAAATACTAATGCAAAACCCAAGAACACATATACAATAGTCAGAACAACAATATTTATATATATAAAATAATAATTCAAAAATCTTGAAAAGTGTACCAACGTGCTTTCATACTGCGACCTAATGTGCAAGCAGTAGACCACCCCACCACAGGTAAGAAATGAGAAATTTTGAGGGCTATTGAACACTGAATTTTCGCAGCTGAACAGTATAAAGTTATTTAGCAGTGTTCAATAGCCTTCAAACTCACTTCTGTCTGTGGGTTAGAATGGTCCAGTAGAAAAAGACTGTAAAAAAACCCAGTGCAATACAGGTTGGACCAAGATTTTTTTCAATATTTTTTAAAAACCCTTTTAAGTTTTGCATCATTTTATGCATTTTGAAAAACATTAAAAAATCTAAAGATGCCATACACTATTAACTAGACAGCATATAAAGAGTATCTATATAAAAACAGGTTTTAGCCTATAAGTATACTCCTACTACCACCACAGGTGTATATTTAAAAGCAAGATTAAAAACCTGCTGCTTCAGGGACAACAGCTTCCCAGTCCAACCAGTTCAGTATGAATTTTGCTACTGCTCAAGTGGCATATACCAATATGTTGGGGGTTTTTTATTCAGTTTTTTTTAGTTGGCAAAACTAACACCTCAACAGCGGAGTAAGATATGGGATTCATTTTACAGATGTGAATACTGATTTTTACAGGGCTTTTAACAAGGGGATCTAAGAGTTGGCATTTATTTACCAAGTGCTCAAAAATGAGCATTTGTATATTCCAGTGGGAAACACAAAACAGTTTCCACCACAATAATTAGATCCACTTACTATAAATGAAACGACACCCTCCTCACGCACAAAAGTTGGTCAGTTTTTCCATTTATGCTTGCATATTTCAGCCTTCACCCATTCCCTAGCATGGATGTTTCACTGATGGCTGAGGGTAACACTTCAAAAATGAACTAGCTAAACAAACTTCCCAGCAGCACTTGACAGAGCTACACCTATTCTTCCCCATTTCCAAAGCAGTACAGAATTAATTACCAGTTCTATGGATCTATTGTAAGTATAATAGACTAAAGAGCTATCACAGACACATTTATTGTAAAAGCACAATCCCAAGAGTGTCTAGTAGAGGGCCAAAACGATTAACACAAATGCTTTGTCAGATCAAAGATAAAACCTGCACCGCCCAATTGAGGAATGAATTAGAACAGTGGGTTATCTTTCAAATTAACCAGGGCAGTTAGTGAGGAAAATTTCATGAAAGTGTAATTCTTAGCCTTTGTGAATCCACACAGCAGGCATTCTGCCAGCTGACAAGATGATGAAATTTTCATGCTTAAAAAAGCCCTCTTCATTTCCCAATTTAGATTAGCTAGCGTTTCTCTCTCTTTTCATCTATTTGCTCTTCTGAAGCAGAATTAAAAACAAAAAAAAAGCACACAACAGGATCAATCTCTCATGGAATAATGCATTTCTGAAAAGAAATAAAATCTTTGCATGTAATTTTTTTAGATATATTTACAGTTAGGAGTAAGATCATCAAAATTGACATTGTTAATACCATTAAGAAATCCATAAATAGTGGAGCAATGGTAGATATGTTTTGGAAGACGGATATAAAACACTTCAAGGTTTAATAGCAAAAAATGATTGTGGAAACAAAATTTTATATAAAGGTGAGTAATTTACAAAAACAAGGCTTACAAGATTGTAGGAGGCTTACAAAACTCTATTTATGCTCTTACATTTGCATCTTTTTAAAGGAAAGAAGTATATCACTATTGTATTTATTTATTTATCAGTTTCATGCACCAAAAAGGGCAAGTAGATTTTTCCATTTTTAGATTTTATGGCACTCCCCCGTGCCTAAATTTACACAGCCACATATAAAAGCATTTCCATAGACTAAAGGAAACAACACGCAATGATCTTAAATACCTTTAAAAAATCTGATTCAAAGCTCACTGAAAACAAGTAGCCTTATTCATTTCAGCAAGCTGGTGATCAAGCTGAAAGGCTCTTTATAGGGCTGTCTTCATAAAAGGTAGCTCATTATTTTAAAGGTTAAAAAATTCATTTTTGCATTTTATGTTTTTGTATTATTTGCCATTTGACCAATACACCAACAACAATAATATCTAAAAATAAAATAAAAAATTAATGGAGTGACAGTCAGACAATATATTTGTCTATTTTAAATTGATATTCCTGCCTGCACCTTTCAGATGCAACCACTACAATAGGAGACTTAAATAAGCATCTCAAAGTTTCATCAAATGTTTTGTTCCGACAGTTCTTTGCCATACTACTCCTGAATGTGTCTTTATAGCTTATAGGATTATATATATTAGTGCAAACACCCATTTGATGAATTTCAACTCCAGCTGTTATATAGTCACTACAAGTACTTGATGAAAGGAATAAACTAAAACTCACAGCATCTGATTTTCTAAGCGCTAACAGGACAAAAAGTTTACTTGCCCAACTCTGGGGAAAGCTCTTTTTTAAAATGAAAATTATTGTGCAATTTGGAAATTACTTTTTACAATAAAATAATCTTGCATTTCCAGAGTCTGAGAGCATTCCACAGTCAATAAGTAGTTTTAAACCTTATTATTATAGCTGACTGGTTAAAAGTAAATTCTCAGTACTTAAAAAGTGAGTTTATAAAGCTTTCACTTACAAGGACAAATAAATTCCTTTTGAAGGACACTTCATTATCCTATATACCATGTAATATGATACTTAATAGATTTTAATAAAATGTAAGCAAATTGCATTGTTCAATAGTCAAACATTTCACAGTTTGGTTCACAGCTTGGTCTTAAAAAAAAGAAAAAAAGAAAGAGAACAGAGTAAAATATCACACCATTTTTTGTTCTTATCAGTAGTAAGAGTTTTTCCTGCCCTTAAATTTATCTTCCTTCATTCATCCAGTTTACTACTGCATATCTTATACACGTGTTTTCTAGCACTTTATATGCCAGAAATTACTTAGCATGTGGTATCATGTATTAGCATAATGTACATACATTAAATCTAAAACAGTTAATCAGAAGCAACTTCTATACAAAAGCAGTCTGTGTAAAGACAATACTTTGGCATATTACTTAATAATACATTGTAAATTTAATATGTATAGTACTATCAATTGAGCAGTAATTTTGCAGCCAGTTGGACTTTGCAATAAAATGAGATCTTGCATTTCGCTAACTGCACCTGTCCAAGTCACCTCTCTCCAATGGAAAGGAACAATCCATTCCTACCTTGTGAAATACTGCCTGAATTTAAATAGTTTAAGAAAGTTTTGTGCTCCTTTTGATGCAAAGACCTTCAAAAGAAGTATTTACACATTCAGAAAATATTAGATTTCCAGATGAGCTTAGAAAACACTTACCTACAATTGCAATAAGAACTCATACAGAAGAAAGATAACACAAAACGCACACTTAAAGTATAACGGTAATTCTTAGCGTTGTAGCTGCTGCCTGCAAAAGTATTTTGTAATACTTAAGAAAACACATCACAAATTAGCTAAGGCATTCATTTACAGGCCAAATTTTCAAAAACAATTTATGGTTTTGAGTGTATCAAAGGTTATGAGCACCTTCAAAACTGATGTCTGTCCTGAAGCTGTGAAAACAGGCAATGTTGGACAACCAAAAAAAGGCAAGCAGGCAATAGGATGAGAAGATCTATGAAAATTTGAAGAGATCAGCTAGCTGTCAACTCACAAAATATGATGCTTCTAGCATATCAGAGATGCAAAACATATTGATATAATTTAAAAATCAAGGTGGGTTTTTTTCGTAACAAGTCATCACCTTGGACAGTGCAAAGATCGGAATTTCAAATATTACACTTTTTTTTTTCTTTTTTTCCCCCCACAATGCCATACAAAGCCAACCACTACTGCTGGCACTTTGGATTTCTTGCACTGTGTGTGACACCCCCCCTCCCCCAAGAATTATATCAAATTCATTAACTACCCATCTTTCTCCTCTTTTTTCCCCCTCTAATCACTACGAAGAAAAATTCATAGTTTTTCCCTTCCTATTGTCCTTCAAAGAATTTTTACAGAGCTACATTCAGTTTTCCTTTTCACAGTGTAACACAATATACATCAATTCAGGTTGGAGAAAAGAGAATCAGATTTCCATTACATGAGAAACTGATATCTGCATATTTGATAGGCTTCATAGATTTTCTCAAAAGCATTAAGATAATCAACACTCTGCACTTTTTCATCTAATAATCTGGACCACAGACAGCTACTACATCTGTAATAATACTGACACACAGTTACAAAAATTTAAATTGACTTAAGACTGAACTGAGGAAACAAACATTCTAAATTAGCCTTTGAAATCATTAACTGATTGTTTTATTTTCATAAAGTTGGGTTTTGACATTGCATGCTATTACCTTGGACTAAAGAAAAAAAGTAACATGACAGTCACTAAAAACTCAGCACCACTTAGAAAACTCAATGTGGCAGAATATTTTCTGAATACTTACATTATAGTATTTTCTGAGGTAGCGTCTAATATCCAACAATAATTTGTTGTTCATTTGAACCACATAGGTGAAAGGAGGCTCTTCACATTCAGTCTTACTGCACCTTAGCAAGCTGGGTTCAATAAATCGCCCCTGAAAATGGAAGTGTAAAACCACCATGCGTCATTACAACAGATGATGGTAGCAGAAGTTATCACAGGAGTTCAGACATAATACATATTTTAAAAAAATAATAGTCTTAAAGAGCCTCTAATATCTAGGCCTTCTTTCCTCCCATCACAGTTGGCCACACCCATATAAAGAGTTCTCCAACATCCAGTTTTCTCATTCTCCTCTTAACGAAAGGTCTTTTGGAGAACATGCTTCTTCACCTGCTACAATGTTAATCGTTCAAAAAATGATGTTGAGTAAAAAAAAAAAATTAATCTGTGGACAAATCACGCTCCCTTATCTCCCCGCAAACAACACAGGTTTGTTGTTTTATCAGGTACATCAAAGTTCTGCCCAAACCCACTAATCAGAACATTGGTGTCAACCTTATAGATTACCAAGTATGAAATTACCAACAGGCTGTAGAGACAAACCTTATTAAACAAGAATGACATGATCATCTTTTATTTTCACCAAGTGCAAAGAATAGCTCTTGCAATTTTACACCATCTCATTCCCCTTTCAAAACTTTCTGAACACTGACATTAAAATTTCAGAACCTGGAAGTGATGCAGTACAGCTTAATTTAAGTTGGTAGAATTCTCATTAAAATAAGAACCTGGTAGGCTAGACAGTTATGCAACTTTTTAGAAAACTTTCTTTCAAGGTAAGACTTAGCTTTCGTGAGCCATCTTGGCTAAATCCCCACCCACAACACTAAATGATTCCAAATGGAAGAGAGGGTTCTTTTGGGATTTTTTTTTTTCTTAGTTTAAAGGTTTCTTCTGTTGTTTGGTGGGTTTTTTCGCTTTTTTTGGTGTGTGTTAAGAAGTCTGACATCCACCTCTCTCCAGCTAGCCCATCTGCAAGTTGTCAAGCCTACATGCAATTAACTATCTTATTTACAGCTGTAACGAACAAAAGTCAAGGATTCACAAAGTATCACTCAATTTGTGTGTCTTTTCCTCTTACTTGCTTCCAAAGACTGCTTTATTTTGATTCAAAAAAATGCAAAACATCTGCTGTTTGTCCAAATTAACTTAAAATAATTACTTTTAATTTAGATAAAAGATTTATTTGCTTTCAGTTTCAAGGTTTTCACTACTCTGAAGCTCGCTAATTTGCCAATGACTAATACATACATAACATTGCTGTAGAGTTAAATACTTGGCCCTATTTCAAGTTACAATCCAAGGTCAGAGATACATTTTTTGGCAGAACTTCTCAACAAGAATGCACCCCTATGACTTTTTATGTTCAATACACAAAGACAGAAGGAAAGATAACACCGAAAAACCTTACTGTCAAGAAGGGAGGTGGGATGTAGCAAGATAAACACAAGTTTCAAAAACATGTTGTTCCAATTAATATGATTTAGGATAAGAAACTGCCATTATTATATGAAAGTTTCATTAAATAGAGAACTGGAAGTTACTAAGGTGTTACGATAAGGATTCCTTAAAAAATTACAGCAACAACCATTCACGTCTGTGGGCAAACAGATTAATGAAGACAGATAATCTCGTATGTTCTGCTAGACGACACAGCTGAAATGCAAAAACGGGAAAAGTATTTCAGCACTATCCTATCAGCAAATTTCTGTTCCAAAGCTATAAATAGCAGAACTCAAACAATATGGTATCTTCTCCTACATCATATGAATCCTATCTGAAAAGCCATTCTCTCGACAAGTGTTTTTCTCCCTCACTGATAAACAGAAATGAAAGAGAAAAAAAAACCCCAACTAACCGAACCATCGAAGACATTGTCATAAATATTTTCTGTTCCGCATTTGAGGCAGCAAAACTTGAATCTTTCACAATCCCTATATTTCTCCTCATCAGTGAGCTGAGCTGGGCCACCAACCAAGGCATCATTCTCCTCATCTTTATGGTAATGGTGATGGACTCTGAATTGGGAGGGATCCAGTCCTATTAATAAGAAACAAAAATTTCAAAAGACTAAGAGGTCAACCATGCAAGGAGGCTCATTTTTCATATGCTTGGTGAAGCAGATTCAAAAGAAAGTTACAAAATGTAAATTCAGAAGCTGAAAATCTCTCCTTAGCAAAACTTCCTCTATAAAACACAAATACATTTTACAATTTTTAACCACAAACAAAGGTTCACGAACGATGAAGAAATATTCTTACTTATCTTCTTATGCAAGATTGCTTTATAAATAAAACAAGCACACTGCACTATCATGGGAGTACGCAACAGAACATTTTGTTTCTGAGGAAACCACTCCTAACGGATGACTTTATTGTTATTTTCTTCTTAAGTTACATTGAAAATATTTCAATAAAAATGTGCATCGTTATTAAGAAACAGTCTTTAAATCAAAATGGCACCATTGAAACTGAAAACAGAGAATAAAAACCCCATTAAGAAACGCGGGTGCACTGCTATTACCAACTCCTTCAAGTCCGTATACAACTGCCAACTCTGATTTCAATGCAGTGGTCGATTTCATTTTGGCTCAGTGGTTAACAGCATGTAGGTTTCAATCTAATGCAGTGGTTAAAATTCAGCAGCAGCATTTAAAACGGCAGTGCTGGAGACAAAATGCTTTATTTTTGATTGCCAGAACTCAAGATTTTAAACAAATAAATACACAAAAGAGATCCTAAAAATACTGATTCAATCACAAATAAGTAAATAAGCAAGCACGCACGAAGTTCACTGCCCTAGGAATAAGACTGCCAAAGTAAACTTAACAAAATCCACGGGTTTTGTCATTCTTTGTCATACGCAACCTTTTAAAAGTCCATGCATCCCATTTAAAGGGGGTTTTTTTGTTAACTGTAGCAAATACTACATGCTAGAAAAAAAATTAAAAAATTGAATGAGCATGTAGAAGAAAATGTTCAGAAAACTATGGCTTACTTTATTATTAAGAAGAAAAAATGGAAGAGAAGCACTTTAAAAGATATTTTTAAAGGAGACTAATTAAGCCAAGTAACACATTACTATGTATTAACCCATACCTTAGGCAAATTTCAGTAACAAATGTAATAATTACTATAGAAAGAGCAAGGAAGATTACAAACAGAAAGTGAAGCTAGATTTTACAGTGCTTCTTAACCTCATAATACACTACCGGGAGACTTATAGACAATGTTTGGGAACAGTATTCAGTGAAACTTGACAAATATTATTGCACATATAAAACAGTTGTGTTATACAGGCAGATACAGATTGTCTTTATATAAAAAAAATTGGTATGTGTGACTTTACTGAATTCCTATTTTGCAATCATAAAACAAATTCAAAGACAAGGAAAAATTCCATTGCCAAATAAGTTTATTTGGTTCTTGACAGAATAGGGTTTTCACTAAAATTTAATCAATCTTCCTAATTTTCATTTTATCAAAAGAAACAAATGTCAATGCATAAGGGTAACAATTCACCTTCAAGAGGTTCGTAAACTTTTAATACAGTTCTCTACTATCCATTAAAAGGAAGAGCAAACAAAGCAAAAAACATTGCTAACAGCTTATTTTGCACTCTAATACATATGATACTCCCCCAAAAGACTGTGGGGTTTAGGGTTTGTTTTTTTTTTTCTCTTTTTAAAGGGTTGGTAATATATTTGCAGTTTTAGAAAACAAAGAGTATGTTCTGCAACACACAGGTAGTAGATAAAAGGTTTAGAAAGGAGATTTGAGTTTAGTATTAAGATTTTGCAAAAAAACCCCAACTAAGTATGCAGTAGGTTGGAAATAAGATACTGTTGGTGAATACTAACAAAAATTCCCAGTTTACTCTGAGTTCAGAAGTGGAATGAAAAAACTTGCAACTTTCCAATACAGATGCCACTGAAGTTCAGCTAGAAAACTATCTTTGGTCATTTCCCAAAAGGCAAATATAGAGCAAAGTAGTTCACTAAATAAAAGATAAAAAGAGATAAATCCTGGTTTTCAGACAACTGCAGCTTTCCAATATTCAGTCAAAACCAGTGACAGCAAATAAGCATCTGGACATTTGGTAATAATTTAACAGGGAAGAAAATAAAAGTTATTCACTGGAAGAATTTAAATCACACCTAACTCTGAACTTTCTTAGCTGTTCTGGCTGGAGAAAACAACAGGAAAAATATTGTGATGATTCAAGTGTCCATCTAACTTCTGGTGTGCAAACAGTCCCAGTGAAATCAAAGGGACTACAAATCAGGCTTTTAAAGACCATGCCTACATTAATTATCTTGTGGAATTGGGATCTATTTTATCTATTATCTCCTTTCAGGAACAGTTAGTTGGTTCAATTAATCCATTTCAGCACACTAACTGCTATCCTCTCGGACCAGGTCACACCGGTCATATTACTCTACTTGGTAAACAAAACAGGGACTATCTGGTGGGTGGGGGGAAAAAATGTCTGGTTTTGGTAACTGTTAAATGAATAGGATGAGATTAATCAGTGAACTTCTTTGAACTCTTCTTCTTCTTCTGTGACTTCAAGAAAAACCAAAAAGACTCTGACTTACTCTATATGAAAATCTTCAGGGCTACCATTGAATTACCTGCACCACAGGTAAGCTTTCCAACTTCACCAAAACTGCAAGGCTGCACGCATGACAAAGAAATGTAACATTAAAAATAGGCTGATGAACCTAGCGTGATAGAAGTAAATAACAAAAGTAAGTTCCAGGACTTGTTCCTGAATAACAGAATTATTAAAGCATTTACTACCTAGCAAGCAAAAGAGGTCACTCAAGAAACTGAAAAAAAAGGTCAAATAAATTTTACTAATCGCAGAATTTTTAAAATAACATTGTGCCGGTCGTTTCGACGCGTCCTTCCACGCACACCGCTATCCCCCTGCCTTGTGCGCTCCCGGGGGAGCGGAGGTGCGGCCCGCAGCAAGGCCAGAGCGCCCCAGAGCCTCGGCCGCCGGGGAGACGCTTGGCAGGACGCCGGCCGTTGAACAAAGCCCGAGGGCTTTTCCCTGGATTTCGTATGTGGACCGCAGGTTAGTCGGGAAACACAGAAAGTTTCCCCGCTTGTACCTTTACCCGTTAGACATTTTGTGAGAGGCAGAGAAACGGCATCCCGTGCTGCCACCTCGAGGCTACGGCCGCGCATTTCAGTCAGGGCGACGCGGCGGGGCCGGGGCCGCCCTGCGAGTCTAACCCTGGGCGGGCAGGGCCTCTGCCCTTCGAAAACGCACACTTTTTTTATTTTTCTCCAAGAGATCCTCCTGCGCTGCAAAGCTACGGTGCCTCCTGCGTGGGGTCAGAACACGCAACGCACGTCAGCAAGTCTCAGTTTCTAAGCAGGTCTAGAGCATCTAAAAAAAACCACCAAACCCAGCTCGACCACTAACAGCAACATTCATATGCTTTGGGATTTACTACTGCATTGTCATTAAGTTTCATCATTACTTGAATTTCCATCATTCTTCTCTTGCTTCACTCCCTAATGTGAGAAAAACAATAAAAAAGACAGAACCTGATTTAATTCCCGAGTGGCACAAGGAGAGCACAACTGTCCTGGTTTCTGTCAGGTGAGTCAGTCTGGTAGCTGCTAAATACCGTATTAAAGGCACCTAACTAAATGACTCTCTAGCAAAGAAAAATAATAATGGTAATAAAAGACACCTTCTTATCTTTAAGGTGGCAGTGGGTTTCCTTACAGGGAGCAGCTAACATGCCAACACTGGGGGGAAGGAGTAACAGGGAAGTACTCTTCATGACAAGCTTCATCGGGACCCAGGAACTGCACCCTAAAATTAGACAGCCTTCCTAAGAAGTGCCCAAATGCCAAGCCATCTGCAGATGTGCAACAACATGCACATCCACCTGTAAGGCAGCAGCACACATCTCTTTCAGAAGACCATGATACAGTCTAGGCCAGCAGTCAGCAACTTCCATAATTTTGAGAAAATGATGTTATGTAGTAACAGCTACAAAAATCTCATGGTTAAATGGATCTGTTTCCATGATGTTTAGATACTTTTGACAACACAGAAATAAGATGTGCTTTTTCTTTAAGACAAGGAGCAGTATTTATGCATCAACAAAAACCCCTTACTTCAAATACGTGAAGAGAATTGTTCTGCCAATACAGTTCTTTTTGTTTAAAAGCTATAGGTATCTTCAGGATGAAGTAAGGAAGGTCTCCAAGCATTTAAGAAGATCAGATTTATTGAATGATATTACTGATCAGATTGCACGCTTAGTTTCAGAAACCCTGTCAATCCTCATCTTGTCACTGCTTTTCCTTGAGAACTTCAAGAAAGAGTGAATGCAAGAGTATGCCCATGAGGTTCTTGTTTTTAGGAACGATGAATTTCCATCTCTCAAAGGCTAGGCAGACCTCCTACAATGTCCGAAAACAAAAGGCAATTTTCAGCTTGGTTCCATAGTGAATATAAATATGATATTTAAGGAGTTCTCTGCATTTTTTAGGCGTGGTTATTTGCTTTTGGTTTTCAGCATCTAAAATAGCTTAAAATATCTTGCTTTGAGCACAGACAGAACAAAGAACTTTTCATCATTTTGATATGAGCCAAGCTTCCCTAAGCAGAGCTCAATTTTATCTACTCGGACTAACGCGGTGACATGTCAATGAAACATTCACCTTTTAAAGAGATGCTGTTAAATATGAAACTGAGATCTTTATTCTTCAACCATTCTACCTATACAGACACATACCCTACATAACACAATAAATCAAATCAGGTAGAGGAAGACGCACACAATGAGAATGCAACCAAGTTTTGGTCCACAGATATGACACTTAGATGTCCTCCAGAACACCAGCTTTCTTCTTCAGAAGAGAAAAATAGACTCTTTTGCAACAAGATGGGGGGGGGGGGGGAAAAAAAGGCAGGAATTTGGATGCGTAACATGATGTAAATACTAAGCAAAAGCGCCCAACTTAGCAACACAGAAAAGTAAACAGTTCTCATGTTTGCTTGTTTTAGCAAGCTGGGCTCAACTATCTTGTACGCTTTTGTATCTTGCAAACTATTTTCAACTTCTTTGAAACAAAACCACTTGACTATCCCTCCAGTACTGTTAAAAAAAAAGCTGTAAGATAACTTCAGCTTGCAATGATTTATGTACGACTCTGATTAAGTGCTGTATATAAAGGCCTAAGTAGAGCAGAAGTTTTGAAAAAGACCTGACTTTACCCCCAAGCTCAATTTAAGCATTACCAAGAAAACAAAGCTGGAGAATGAGATAGCATTTTTACAGCACAGCAAGGTCAAACTGAACACATTTCAGACCTAAGATTGTAATAGATACATACAGGTTTTCAGACTGACAATTGTGGACTATTAATAAACTCTCAGCTGCATGATGCTATTATAGACCATAAAAGAAATTTTCATCTTGAATGTATTACAGCGCAAAAAGCACCATAGGCATTTGCAAACAGTAGCTGCTATCAAGTGGCACACAATTCTTAAGATCTGGGCACTTAATTTAGGTGCCTGAAGGGAGCCAGTCTTTTCTGAACATCCAACCTGTTGTGAATAAGGAACAAATCTGAACCTGCATGACTGACAATTTTTGCCAAATAAAATAAATTAGTTTCAGAAATCTTTTCTGTCTTTTACTTAAATGAAGTGCAAGTTTACCGCCTCTTTGTATGATTTGTATGGTCAGCCTGCATGTGCAAAGCTGGGATGACACCTCCTCAAAGCACGAGAGCTGTTGACGACACACTGCAACATCAAATGCCTCCAAGAAGTCTCCAAGAAATACCTGTGCAGCCTCTCAGAAAAAGCAAAATTCCTGTGTTTTGTTTTTTGTTGTTGGGGGTTTGGGGGTTTTTGTGGTTTGTTTTGTTTTTTTTAAAAAAAGGACAACTTGGAAATGAAGATGGAAAAAGCTGCACATTATACAGAAGGCTCTGGGAGATAAAGATCTTTCACGGCTATCATTCTTCTTGAGAAGCAAGAAGACAGAAACTTACTTGCACACCTTTTAAGTGCAAACTTTTTGCTTGCAAAAGTGCACTTTTAAGCTTGCAAACTGCAAGCTCACCATGAGCAGAACCTGCTGTTAGTAAGGAACCTACAGAGATGCAGTGTCTCAGGTGAACAGTCCTGAAGGCAACAGGTTGCCGGTTGGTTTTAAGTGACCAAATCCTGGATCTTGGCTATTACCCACACACAAAATGCTGAGGACTAACTCTTCCTTTGAGCGTTCCAAAACTCTGAACAAAATCATTCCTGCAGGTGTGAACTTCCTGTGGGCATGGGCAGAGCATCAAACAGGAGATTATTAAACTGACACAGTGCAACTCCCTAAAAGAGTTTTCTTGTGGGAGAGGACGGTCTTGTCAAGAACTCAGAAGCCAGCAAGACTAGCAACTTCTTCTGTGTCCTTGAGTAATAGTTTTAAAAATAATGAACTAGATGTAGGATACAAATCACAAAAATTGTGTTTATTAAGGAGATCAATCATGCCTGTTGGTGAATTACTTTTAGGGAGGAAGCAACACTAAAAGGATTACACACACAGCATTGCATTTTCATGGAAAGAGATCTGATAAACTGTTATTTTTTTCAACACCTGTATTTCTTTCTAGGTAAGAAGCCTAGGGAAAGGAGAAGACAGAGGCAGAGATGGGCAGAAAAATCTTTAATTCTAATTCCTTTGACATCCTCCTAAGAGGAAAAAACAACTCTAACAAGAGCAATTCGCTATTGCTCATTTGAATAAAAACTGGTGATTCTGTGGGGCACTAGCATTAGCAACATTTTTCATAGCACTTTTTTTTGGCCACTTCATTTCTCCATTTGGAGTAGGCAAGACTGTTACCAAAGTCTGACATTTCTATTATCCACTAGGTCAGTTCTAGCAAAAAAAAAAAAAAAAAAAAAAAAAGTCTTCACTTACACCCCACTAAAAATTTGTATCTTTTCATTTTAACTATGAGTGCTTTCTCCCTCGGAAGATGCTCGAGATCCCAGGGTTTCTTTCTGAAAAATGCTAGTTCTGGATGCATGCTCCAGAACAACTTTAGTAACTTAAGAAAATCTCAAAGACATGCAATAGTACTGTCATTTATGAACATTAAATTTTTGCAACTCTGAACAAGGATTATAAGATTAAGTTCATGTTAATGAGCACGTTCTGAAAAATGGTATTCTGCAAAAGTCAGAAGTACACTTCCAATCCAAGCTGCCTTCTATAGACTGTGTACACAAGCTATGGTTCATTGTAAAAAGACTGATTTTGGGAAGCATTTCTGTTAAGAAACATACATTACAACTTCTCACTTTGTCTCTGTAATTCTTTAAGTAAACAGAATTTAGAATACTTACCTAACCAGGTTGCAATAAGAACAGAATCAATTCCCTCTATGGGCTCACATATTCTAGCAACTACTGGATGTATTTGCTGTGACAGGTAGTACTGAGTATCAATAGTAAGATTGTCTTGCTTTTGTAACTGTTCTGGAGCATACGCTCGCTGGCTGGCACTGAGATCAGATCCATCCTAAGACAGGAGACACATACAAAACAAAGTGTAAAAAAAGTAAAATCCACATTCAGTCCATACAAAGGATTATGCTTCAAGTATTACACATTGCTTTAACGCAAAATTCTTACACAATCACTCTCTTTTGGTTGATTTATTATGCGTCCAATACAAATCCAGCAGTAGTAAAAAAAAAAATTGCATAGCTGATGCTGGCATCAACTAGCAAGTTCAAGAATGTAAATCCAGCTTGTATTATTGCAGCCTACACGTGCAAATCAGTAAGAGTAGACAGAGTAAACAGTCCCATCTGTCAATTCTGAAATGCACAATGAAAACACATTGTAACCATCAGCCCAGTTAAAAATACGCGGAGGGCATGCATTTTGGATTCACTTTGTACTAAACTAGCATTATCATTTTGCACAACAAGCAAATTCTAAGTCATGGATATCAAAACTATATCTATTTTGCTAGGAAATTTATATTCTTCAATTCTATAAAGAAACAAAGACAATGAATGGTCAGAGAAAGAATTATCGTTCATTGGTATGCAAATAAAAGATGGAGGCAACAGTATTGATTTGAAAGAGCAAATTCTGAAATATTCAGAAATACCAAAAGAAACACATGGTGACATCTCAAGCCAAGAGAGAAACACCACTCAGAGGTTAGAGTATACATTACATTCTTCTCCAACTTGAAAGAGGAAGATAAGGAGAAAATAATTCAATTTGGGAAGGCAATAATTAAATTGAAAACAGTATTCATGGAGGAATTAAGTATCAACTCTAAGAAGATGGTACTCTTCTGGAAAACGTAACTCAGTCTGTAGAATCGTATTCCCAGTCCACAACTAGACTAGGAAATTTTATTTTTAATGTGTGTCAAAAATCTTAGAGCAGATCTTAAAAGTAGTATTTTAGCAAGCATTCGCTAATAGAAGTAAACCTTAATGAGGATGGGGGGGGGGGGCAGGACCACAGCTTATTTTTTTCTAAGTACAGTCTCTTTTTTTGCTTTTTTACAGCAAAATAAAACAAATGCATTACCATATGACACCTTCATTTTTCAGTTAAGACGAGCTACTGGCTTCAATAGGGTCAGCAACCAGGGACTGAAAACCCATCACTAATAAAGACAGACTGCAAGCCATTGGTCCCTCCTACTCCTTTCAGACAACTTAGTATTCAGAACAAAATTAATTTAGGACTATTCAGCTCATCCAGCTGCTTTGCAAAAATAATTACAATGCAATTCTTTCAGCTCCCTTCTTTCAACAAGTACATTCTTCTCTTGTATTGCGCCATCGCTCAGCCGTACCCATGGCCCAGCTCTCATAAGTCTTGGCAGCTTCGTCATGTCAGGATAAGAACCCTCAATTAAATAAAACCCAGTATCTTTCAGGTTTTAACAATGAAGTAGTGGGCAATGTGACTTCTACAGTGGACAAGTCCATCAGTTTGGCATAAAAGAACCCTTGGTCCATCTAATCCAACCTATGCTTTTTTTGAATAGCAAATCCAAAGTGGAGTATACACTGGTGAGATAATGGTAAGCATTAATAGGATATACACCTGAAAACAGAGAGTTTCTCAAATTCCCCAGTCTATCCAACAGAGGTACTGCCAGATCCAATGACTATGAATTGGAAAGACACAAGTGGAGACTGGATATAACTACACTATTTAACCACCACCACCAATTAGCTTTCCAAGAATGACAGGTTCTTTACTACCGGAATTCTCTTCTCCTTAAAACGAAGACTAGATATTTTCCTTAAAAATAAGTTCTAGTTCCAAACGGAAATTTATTCAAGGAAATTTTATCGGTCACTGTATGGAAATAATCAGATGAGCTGAGCTGCTCACAGTGGTTCTTTCTGGCTCTATAAAACTACATTTAGTACAGAAAACTTACTATTTTAAACTATAACATAATGTCACTACAAAAAAGTGCCAAAACATTTTTTTCCCAGGAGTTGAGTTAGGTTTTTTTTGCCATCTCTCCAAACAATACCTAGTATTTAGCTATAAAGACATTTTTACCTGACAAATGATATATGACACTGTGTCTCCTGCCTTCACCTTTCGGCCTCCTTGAGAGTTTATCCACATGGCAACATGCACATGTGGCAAACTTTTTTTGTCAGGATAATCCTGTGGATCTTTCGTCAATGCCTAAGAGATCAAAGGAGGAAACAGAAACATAACTATGAGAAAAGTATTTTACCTTAGTGATGGATAACTCAGAACTTTAAAAGACAAGACTACATAGTAGCTATCTTCATCCAGCTACTATTCACAAGTACATTTGCAACACAAAAAAGTAAGACTGTAATAAAGGTATTTTCCAAACATTAAGGTCCAGGTACCAGTTCTTCATATTTTAAAAATGTTATTATTAATAAAATGAGAGGATGCTTCTACAATTACTGTCTGAGAAACGCATCACATTAAAAGCACAACAGTTCAAAACAGTTACAGATACAGTGCAATTGTTTTAAAATTAAACTAAATTGGAGATGAAAACATTACACAAAATACAAAAATACAGCCAGAGATTATCCTTTTACCCCTGCACCAGTTCAGGTCAAAGTAAATCTGAATAGCAACTAGTTAAGTGTATTTAACAAGCTCTGTAGCAAGAGGATGCAACTAGATTTAAATATTTCTAAGTATCTCATACTTCTGAGATTCCACAATGAGTTTCTCCTTTACATAAAATAAAACGCTATGTTTAAATATTTTACCATCATCCCATTTCTTAGAACCAACTTATACATTTGACTTAAAAGTGAAATACATCGTTTATTTTTTTCCAAAGTAGTAAAACAGAGGAACATTTAGCATTTAAATGAAAATTATTCCATATATATCTTTTACTAGGATACTAAATAATCTTATAATATTTGAATCAAAACAGTCTTTCTTTTTGAAGTCAATCATAAAAAATCACTTCACACTCATAACAACCTGAACACAGTTCTTAACCAATTAATACAGTCTTGCAGAGCAGCAGTTCAGCTGGCAAAAGAAGGAGACTTTGGATGGAGCAAATTTGGGAAACCTCTTCTATTAGAAGCATGAGTGGGGCATGTAATAGCCAATTCATTAGTGAAACACCCCTCTAGTGGGGCAGAGGGAGGGTTTTGAAGTTAAAAACACAAGTTTTATTGAGGATTCATAAAAACAAACAAAAATCACAATGCCATTTGCTAGATCTCCTATAGATAAAGCCAAGTATTTTACTTCTTGCTGCAGGAAAGTCTTGAATAAGATCTCAAAATGACTATTAGCTTTCATCTACGGAGCACTGAAGGGAAATAAACTAACAATAGCATGCTTTTATATGGATTTTCTAGAAAACAGAACATTTGATTCTTCTCCATTGCATTCTTCAGTTTATGTATTTTAAACCTGAAATACATAATAACAATTGAGGAGAAAACTTCTCCTGAAAGCATGAGCTATCACGTCATTCTCAAAGTGCAGAATCAGTAAGGAAGACAGCAGGATGGGAGAAAACACAAAGTTGTTACTGTGAGGAGGCAAGACTGGCCTCCAGCCCCACAAGGTATTTTTTCTCATATTGTAGCATCTTTGCAGTATGCTCCAAGCTATTCAGTATCTAATAAAACTCCTGATATTTCACAGTATCGTAAGGATTAAAAGGATTTTTATCAGCAGTCAATATACTCAGAAACAGTAAAGTTCTTCTGAGACAGAAAAGAGCTGAGGCATTATTTACCTTGTTTATTTCAAACTGATTTACTGGGATCTGGCCATTGATCACATTTTCTCCAATTTCTATAAGCCGCCTTTGAATATTTTCCACGATTATGTCTCGGGGCTGATCAGAAAGAATCTGACCAATTATATAGCTGTAAAAACAGTTCAAAAATGAAGAAAAGCTTAAGACACACAAAGCAAAACCATTACAGTAAACACAATCCTCTTTTCTCCTGGGTTACCTTCAGAAATTAAGGAGTCTGATGATGAAGTCTCATGCAAAATTTATAGAAATTTGCCAGGATATTTCATGTTGTGTTTTATTTATTTACTTATTTTACTAAAAGCAAATTATTGTAAATAGTTCTAATGTTAAACAGTGATTTGGAATTGTTGAGTGCAACCAGTTTCTATTTTCTGCTCCCATTTCATTTTGCCATTTATTATTCTATAGCAGGTATCTTAAGATTAGAGAGAAGAGAACATATCAAGTAAGCAAAGTCTTGCCTATTTCTGTAAAATGTGGTTGGAAGATCTGCCAGCTGCAGAAGAGTTAGTCACTAAAGAACACTCTCAAACATTTGTATAGCTTTAATTACTAATACATTCCTAACTTGGAAAAATTTGCTTCTATTATGATGCATCTTTTCTTAGAAAATGCAAGTCTTAAGAACAGTAAGCGTGTGGTGTATTTTTACAGATGTACAAAAAATACTCATTTTTGGATACATTTGGACCACGATTTAGTGAAGTTAAATTTTCAAGAGGCAGTAGGCAATATAAGTCGAGTCAGCCCCCAGATGACCACCTCTCCATCCACTTGTTTTCTTTCTACAGTGCTAAATGTATTATCTGTATTGCATAAGTATGAAATGCCCTGTGCAATGACAATTAATGAATCATCAATCCAAAATCCATCATAAAGAAGTATCAAAAGAGTCTCATTTGAAAAATGGAAGAGAAACTGTCTTTGCAGAAGGTATCACCTCCTCAGGCTGCACCCAGTGCACTTCCAGCTTTATTAGAGGAAGCTGACAGAGCTGACCATCAGCTTCTTTAACGATCTTTGAAAAAAAAAAAAAAAAAAATCTGACCTAAAATGTACAATTCCAAATGCTGATAGCACCTACCATTTTCACAAGATTTCAGCTGTGATTTATTAAACTGCATATACAAGTGCGTATGCAGTTATGTATACTGCATATACAACTGCTATAACTGAAATGCACAGCTTCCACAGAAGATGGAAAAACAGATAGTGAAATTAGAGACATTTGGACTTGCACAAGTATAATCTGTTACCAATGCCAAAATGTAACATCACCATCTCCTACAAAAAATCAGTTAAGATGCCCTAACACTGACGTTAGTCACCAATATGCACTGTTCAGGACACAGGCACGTGATATCAAACATTTATTCAGCATGTACTGTTTAAAGCAGAGCAAAGAGGACAATGTCACAAAGAAACTCACTTTCCAGTCTCTTTTGCAAGATCACACCAGTCTCGTCGGACTATATCCAATCCTTTCAGTTCTTGTTTAGTTACGTATTTCCCATCTCCTGTTGGTTCCACAGTCAGAGCAGCATATTTCTTCTTCTTTAACAGTAGCAAGGACTTAAAGACTCCATCAATATCGATTTCCAACAATTTATAGAGCTTGTTCACTTCACTTTTGATCTGTGAATGCACCAACGTTAAAACAAAATGCAACGCCTTAATAACTATGGACAAATCTAATGTCCATCTAGAAGCATATCATTCTTATGTTTTAAAACAAGTAACATTACACACTGTGTGTTTTCATGCACATTTTAAAGACTCATCCAATGTCATTAATCATGAAATTAAAAGTACACAGTAGTAACTATGAGCTACTACTAAAATAATGGTTCACCCATTGGCTTCTTCAGGATTTGCAGCTTAGTATATCTAACTCCCTAAGAAAATTAAGCAAGGCAGAGAAGCATGGGACTGAACGTGACCTTGCAGATAACCAGCTCCAGCGTGGTTTACTCCATCTAGCCTCTCACATAAATTAAGCAAACAAGGGATTTCAGAGTAGGGATCCACTTACTAGGAAATGGTAAGAGACAGTCACTTAGACAGAATACAGAAATTGCTTTATAAAAAAGGTGCCCTGCAAAGACGCATTATTTTTTTTCTTCCCCCACCCCAAACCAGGGAGGGGAGGGAGAAGAATGACTGTAGACCAGAGCTCTGTGCGTGCATGTTCAGGAAAAACATGCACAAAGGGCCAAGTGTTTATTCATAGCCCTCCTCACAATATGCCTACATTTTTTATAGCCTGCTTTCTTTGAGAAGAAAAGGTGCCATTTTTCTACACATAGGCTATGTCTTATCAACATACAAAGGCTTGAGGCTGCACTTGATATGTTGTCTTAATATAGTACTAAATATCAAGTGGCTCCACATCTCTTACCTCTATTCTAGAAGGACAGAAGTGTCACATCTCAAAACAGCATGTATGTTCAACAACAAACTTTGGTTCCAGTACACATTCACCCTACTGGCTTGGCTAAAAGTTCCCCACTTGCATTTTCCTTTTGTCATACATTTTTACTTTAATTTCTTCAACACAGTATCTGTGTATCACTCCTCAGACATTCTGTCCTGTCTTCACATATTCTACTCCTCATTTTCTTTCCTCTACAACTTTCCTTCTCTCTTGATTTTCAGTATCTCCCTATCCGCTCCTACTCTTCCATTATTTCCAGTTCTCTTGTCAGAGACCACCAACTATAAACCAGCCTTTTCTCATGCCTCACTGAAGTTTTATACAACTTCAAGTTCTTTTGCCAACACATGCCCTCACTAAGACAGGAACAGTACTTTCAGTATAAAATCTCATTTGTTTTCTACCTTGCTTTGGGCCCACATTACCTGTTTTAACCAAAATTTTCCTTAAAATTTTCCATGTATATGTGTGTATTTAATTTTTCTCACTTAGACCTCAATTTGTCCTACTGCAGGAATTATCAACACTTTTAATAATCTGTGTCTATCCTTAGAGTTTTATATCCCTTGTATATTTATAAATGATGAAGAACACCATGAAGCAAAACCATTTTGCCAAGAGTTTCACATTTTGTTCGTTAAAGCAAAACAGTCAAACAATTCCTCTGAACATTTTTCTGCTATTTTTTAAAGTATTTCCAATTTTTTTTTATTTTTTTTTTACATCATACTAGTCAAGTGCTTAAAAACAGCAGCAGTGCAGTATTGAATGTACCAGCAAATCTGATTCACAAGGACACACAGAAAATGAGAAATGTATGAAATTCTGCTGAGTAATAACTAAAAGGGGCATGGATAAATAATGGGGGCTAAAGGGTGGGAGTGCACACAACCAGAAACCGGTGAGACAGGGCATTAGATGGGAAATTTCAGAAAGAAGGTGAGAGAATTTTCTCAAACAGAAGAACAAAATTAATCTCTCAGAGGAATGCTTCATCAGTGAAGACAATTTATAAATTCACACTTTACATCAGAACAGGGGTACATGCACTAACTGCTCTCACAGTTAATTGTTTGCATTAAATCTGGTACCTTCCATACAGTCTACATTAAAGCAAAAGTATTGTGAATGCAATGTAAATAGTTTGCAAAAAACTCACTATCACTTTAGTGAGGAATAAACAAACAAACAAGAAACAAACCCCACTTTTTTATGTCACAAAGAATATTAAGAGCCACAACTTTCATAATTGTGATGCTAGGTTTGAGTCTGTGCTTATTTACAGACTTAAGCTTATTTACTTTTAAAATTGAATACACAACACCAAAACATTAATCAAAACATGTCTGTCTCGAGGTTTTTTTCAAAAACAACTGATATAGGATTCAGAAGTACATAGGATAAAAAAGCCTAAGATTTGACTCTTAAAAAGAATCATTAAGCAAGTGACAGGTTCAAAAATCTACCTATTCTCTCAGTTAAGCCTGAATCAAAGTCAGAAGTATTTAACCTACAATGATGATGCTGTCAATCTTTATAAAAATTATTATTTAACTGTTCCTCTATAATGTTTAGTCAGCAAATGGGAGCACAGGGACAAAAACCAAATGAGAATGAAGTCACACATCCACACACAGCTAGAGTAAGATTAAACTTTGCTATACACTACTGGATATTGAAATTATATACAGTCTCATATGTGGCAAACAAAAAAGAGATTTCTTTCTTCCATCACATCAGTCCTCCTGCTACCCAGTTGTGGTATCAAGATATGACTCCTTTTTTCCATGCTCCTGAGATACATCTCCTTCTCAAAGTACCAACTTAGCATGAAGGCAGAAGTATTCTAAAAAAACCCCACAATCACTCTTGCCTTAAAATTACATGACATTTGTTTAATACTATACTGAAAAAAACATAGGTTTTCTTTGCTTTTTTAGAGCTTCCATAGGTCTCATTTTCATCACAATTTCTTCCATCTTTCAAAAACAAGTTCTCTCAAATCTTTTCTTTAAAGTGTTCTGATACATTTCTCACTCTCTTCCACAAAATTTCCACATCGTCAATTTAACTGCTAATCAAACAGATCCCTTCCATATCTAGCATACCTCGGAAATTAATATTTTAATTTAGCACTGGAAATCTGATGGCACATAGACTGTAATACATATTACATAACTAAAAAACCCTAAACTGACAGACATCTCTCATGTCAAAACAAAAATCATTAAAATGAAAATCGCGTTCACATTGAAATTGGAACTAACATGGAGGAATCATACCTTACATTTTGGCTTACCGAGCATTCAGATAGTCTCCTGGTAACTTGCGACTGATTGGTAAAAAAGCTCATTATACAATTAAATGTTTCATTTTAATTTAATCACTTTTAAAAATGCACAGAGTAGCGACACTGGAAGGTAGGGCACTCTGAGCTTTTACTATGCCATAGCTTCCATACACAGTCAAACTCTTCTTCCTCATGGCCTACTCTCTGCTTATGCCATGGAGTCCTCTCTTAATACTATCTGCTTCACTCAGTGTTACAACACAGACATGTAGGAAACCTTTAAAAAGAAAAAATTCCTTACCTTGTTCCCCAGCTTGAAGACCTCATCCAAATTGGTGCTATTCGTGTTTATCATAATGGAATCTGTGTCTCCATAAATCACTTCAAGGTTCATCTAAATGAAACAAACTGCTTTGAAAAACAAAACAGAACCACTCCACCTTTTTAAAGTCCCACCTCATTTTCAAGATTCAAAAAGATCACGGTCTGTGTATCATCCCTTAAATACCAAAAAGCAGAAAAATGTGAAGTAAGTTTTTACTGAGAAGTCTGCACATTTCATTAAGACATATCTGAATTTAAAGAGAATAATGAAACTTAAACCACTCATACGTTAAAAAGTAATCACTGTTCAGTTGTGTACATAAGTAGTTACAATTTAATAAATGAATGCCAGAAAAATAAGTCAGTGAACAAGTCTAGGAATTCTAATCAGAAATAACTTTGGAATGCTAGGACACAAGATGATCACTTTGACTCAAAGAATGCTGGACAAATCCAGGCTATTCAGATAAGACATTTAGCCAATGTGCTTGAAAGATAATACTACAGTCAGAAATGCTACCCCATTTGTAGCCATCACAATACTATTGCAAAAAAAGTCATTCAGAAAAAAAAAACCCACCACAAAAAACTTAGATATTCAATTTCAAACAAATCCAGTAAGTGTTGGCTAGCGGATACAGTAACTGAGAATACCACAGTACTGTCCAGATTAGGCTGCTGCTCTTACACTCTTGCAGATTATGCACGTGGCTTTGTATCTCCATCTTCCCACTCCCATCTTTTTTCTTCTGCTATAATCTAATTATCTGTGTTAGTCCTCCCCCGGGCAGCAGATCTTTCAGAGAACAAGGTTCTCCTTTTGGATCTAGCTATTATGGCCCACAAGTTTTGCATCCCCAGGTTGAACTACTGAACAATTACACCTGCAGATGAACACAAACAACCTACTTGACTCCTTCTCTCTGACTGAACTCTGCCCTTCATATCATCTCTCATTCTGATCCTTGTAACAATTCAAATGCCCTGCTTGGAAAAAATTGTGTTCAAACACCAGCCAGACTGCCATAATACTCTGGGATAACGGATCAAACTCTAGACAAATCGAAGCACATAAAAAAAGCCTGAGCTGCGTATGAAAGGCATAGCGAGGAAAAAGGTGAAAAGAAAAATTGTCAACAACAGTAAAACAACACCACCAAAAAATGGGCAGATGCATCCAATTACATAATATTAACTTGAAAAAATTGAAAACCTGATGTCTTCAGTGGTGGAAAATCAATGCAGCTATAAAAACTGCAGCATGGCTATGTCCATGTTAAACTCCATGTAGTCAAAAAACCACCCTGTGACAGAGTTTAAAGGATGCCAAAAAATAAACTGTAATAAAACACTGGAACACATGGTGTAACAGGTCTATGAGTAAACTCTAATTAGCACTGTCACTAATTTGCTTGAAACAGTCGCACATAGGCTTCAAGCAGGGGCCAGATCATATTTGTGGTAGGAAAAGAAAAAAGCTATAATCCATTAGGAAGGATTACATTTGTAAACCAGGCATCCTAAGAAGTGATTTCAGGTCTGTTTGGGTTACAGTTCTCCTAGAATAAAAAAATGTCACCAGGTGTGCTCTTTAAGGGTTGTTGTTTAATGAAAATGCTCAGCATTACCTTTTGCACCATCTCCTTGGTATGCATCAAAATCTGAAATAAAAAAAAATAAAAATCAAAGATTAGCGTATGATATAATTACGAGCTAACACATGCAAACATATCCATTAGGTTGCTAACTCCAAATGCTCTCACCTTTCAAAACAAAGCAAACCACCTCTCTCCTGGCAACACACAGTCACCTTAATACTCCTATTACATGAGTAAATTCTCATCTGACCTTGTATTAATGCTATTATTAACTCCCCTAAAACAAGATTAAAACAAATCTCAAAATTGCACGTACGCACACACATTCTACCTTAGGAAAAAAAGAACACTGAATCAAAGGCTCAAATAAAACCTAATTAGGAAGTGCCAGAATTAAGCCTCTTTCAGCAACTGCGGTCAGTCATCTCCTTCATATCCATCATCTTATCTCTTGATGTCATTTAGATTTTTCCCCAAAACATCCGGTCTTATTCAGTACAGCCTGGATGGTGCTCACTTTAACAAGAACCTAGTCAAAAGGTTGATTATCCTTGTAATGATCTCAAAACGGGTCATCAAAAAGCAAACTCCTCAGGGAAATCAGACCTGGGACAAGGAGCTGGGATAAAGACAGGATACAGATGTTGAATCAATGGGCAAATCCGTGTGTAACCAGGTTTGTTCCTCAGCCAGGAGTGCATCTCAAGTTCCCTGAATACTCTGAATAGCAACTCTCTGAACCTTATAGCTATAGAGACCTAAGATGAGTAGGCTACCGCTTCCAGCTCTAATACTGGT